CTCTGAGACTCGGGAGACCGAGGCTAAGGCTGCCGGCGGCTCGATTTTTACAGGAAGAGAAAGTGGTTCCTTGTCCCTAAGTCTGCCGTCCCAGCTCCGGGCTAACAATGTCCTTGCTAGTTTTATGCGCTTTTCATCCCAAATAAATACACCAAGGAGCCTGCGTTCTAGGACGTAATCGAAGTAGGGCTGTGCAGGAAACTCTCCGGAAATGTTTTCTACATCCTCGAACCGCCAGGCCAGGGTCTGAAATAGCCACGCGATTGCTTTTACCTAGGACCGCACCGCGTTAAGGCTCGGACTTTGAGATAGGACCTCTCCTTTACATCATTCGGCAAGGGCCGCGGCGGGGGGCGGTGGGCAATGGGGAGAGATTTTTACAAATTATCTGCTTTACCATTTTTTGTGAAAACATACTGTTAGATTTTGAGTGTTTCAGGTTGCAGTTTCAAGCAATCACTCTCCTCAGGTGAGAAATCCTCTTATGAATCTTCGTTGATTCAACCCCTAACCCCAGCCTTCCCCACCGATGGTCAGGGTCTTTGTCCATTTCTCAAGGGCCCTGCTTTCCCCGTTATATATATGTTCATTCTCCCCGTTATATATGTGTTCATTCTCCCCGTTATATATGTGTTCATTCTCCCCGTTATATATGTGTTCATTCCCCCCGTTATATATGTGTTCATTCTCCCCGTTATATATGTGTTCATTCCCCCCGTTATATATGTGTTCATTCTCCCCGTTATATGTGTGTTCATTCTCCGGCCTGTGCTATCCTGCCCCGCACTTTGCGGCCCTGCGATGGGTGTGAAGCCCTGGGCTGACTACAGCTTTCTGACTCCCCCCTCTCTAAAAGACAGTTTTGTTTATCTTGCGGTTCTGGCACACGGCAGAGAGAGGAATGCTGATTTTGCCTGGTTTAGGGCAAATTGTTATCCATCAGCTAATGTCGCTCTAGGTTGGAAAAATAGTCCTTCAGACGCGGTCCCCGGCTCTCTGAAAGGCCTGCGCACTGGAAGGAAGGCAGCTCCTTGGATGGCTCGGATTAGACACCACGCTGGTCCACCGGCGCCCATTAAACGGGGTGCTATTGTTGCCCAGTGCACAGGTACACATTTCCTTAAGAATTGTCAGAGGTCCTTGTTTGGGGCCACGTTAGCTTTCCTTTCACCTCTTTTCCCAAAGGCAAAGGACCATCTTCTATGTTCATTGTCAACGACCAAACCCAGGAACCAGCTTTCCAGTCAATGTGAGTAAAACTTCCAGAAATGGGAAGTGCTGTCACTGTTCTGATGACCAGACTTTAGGGTTCATAAGACTCGGCTGGCCAGCACCCTACCCGCGCCTGCTAGTGGGATTTGGGAGTTTGCCTTGCTGAGACACTCAGGTGAGTGTGATTCAGGCGGTAGAGGAGCCACTCCTTTATAGCCTCTTATTCCTGCAAAATCAAACTTGCCCGTAGGATGCTGGTGTGAGTGATTGGGCCAGATTAGGGGTGTGGGGCTTCAAAATAAGTTACAGGCCCTAACCGGTTTGGCTCAGTGGATAGAGCCTCGGCCTGCAGACTGAAAGGTCCCAGGTTCGATTCCGGTCAAGGGCATGTACCTGGGTTGTGGTCACATCCCCAGTAGGAGGTGTGCAGGAGGCAGCTAATAGATGTTTCTCTCTCATCGATGTTTCTAACTCTCTATCCTTCTCCCTTCCTCTCTGTAAAAAAACAATTAAAAAAATATATAAAATAAGTTACAGATGTAGCTGCTCTCCAGAAGTCAAGTAGCAACAACTGTGCATCCAGCCCAGGCACTGTGGAAGATGTAAGGGAAATGGTAAATGAATTTTCTTTCCTTAGAATGACCATTAATTAATGTAAAACCCAATAGGTTCATAATGAAAAATATGTAACTTGCTTGGATGACAAGGACTCTTATGAATGCACACTCAAGAATGTCCTATAGAGACCCATATAAGAATGCCTATGAATACTACAGAATGATGAACAAATTGTTTTTAAAATTTGAATTCATTTTATTATATTTTTTATATGTTGATAACATGTTATAATTTAATTACACTTCTATACTTTGAGTAGCATTACTATAATAATATTAATACTTGATGTCACAAATAATATTTTCAAGGACCAATACCCAAGAATAACAACTATTTGTTCAGGATTAATTCTTTTAAAAATATGTATATTTTTATTGTTTTCAGAGAGGAAGGGAGAGAGGGAGAGATAGAAACATCAATGATGAGAGAGAATCATTCATTGATGGCTGCTTCCTGCACACTTCCTACTGGGGATCGAGCCCGCAACTCAGGAATTGAACCATGACCTCCTGGTTCATAGGTGGATGCTCAATCACTGAGCCACACTGGTCGGGCAAGGCAAAATTCTTTTTAAACCTCAAATTGTTGTTACATGTCTAGTGGAATAATTTCCAGTAGGATTCCAATTTTTTCTAGTAATAATTCATATATGACCTTAGCCAATGAGGCTAAGCCAATTACATCAATATAATATACCTCAATGTTCTCATCTGTAAGAGGGAGCAATACATTTCTGTTTTATTGCATATGATGATGAGATTAACATGAGATAACATGCAAGAGAATTCTTTCAAAAATGCTATAAAACTGTAAGGTGTTATTAATCTGAGATGCTGTGAAAATGTATGACCAAATGTTTGTAAAGTCATTTGATGAGAAAATGACAGTAATTGCCTTTTAAAGATGGGTGTAGGGTGACCAATCAGGGACAAGCTGAGGCTAGTAAGAGAATGGATATAGCGAAGTGAGAAAATTACTAAAATAATGGAATTTTCCATAAAATAAGATATTTTAGCTCAGCCATCTTCTGATATTCCTTTGAAGAAGCTGTAAAAATAAAGACATACATCTTTACAAAGTTAATAACCAGTAAATATAATTGCATTTTTCTGTCATTCTCTTAATCTTCTTTTTAGTTGTTAGTTCCCAGGATTTTAAATTCTGAAGTTATCTTGTGCCAGTACCATGGTGAAAACACAAATATTTATATTTACCTGAATTTTCCCCCAGGCTAAAGACTTTTGTCCTGGAAATATATGCTAATCTTTTGACAGTTTGGTATTGACTTTAGCCAATACTGAAGGCATAATTCAATATATGCTTTTAGTTGCTCAGAGTTAGTCACTTACTGACACTAGATTCCAAATACAGAAGGGCATTTCATTCTTTCTGAGTCCTGAAACATGAAAATAAATGTAAAAGAAAAGGAACCTCTCAGCCTGAGAATTGTGTTGAAATACATAAACATATGAAACTTAGTGACTCAGACTGTTAGCCACAGAGTCACTGGTTAGGCTGGATGAGAGCCACTGTGGACAAAGGCCAGTCATAAGGATGATGATATTGCTTTTCTTTAGTGCTGAACAAAACCTTTTACAAATGTTACAAGAACAAAAGAAAAAGTGGAAGACACTTTCTTCCAAATGTTCAGGCTAAGTAAGAATCTTGCTACCTTTGAAGTATTTTTCTTCCTAAATACAGAAGAACTCTAGTTGCGAATAATTGTAATACAGAGCAACTTAAGCAAAAGCCTCATTAGTATTCAATTAGCACAGTAAGCCCTCTTCCCTGGCCTCTTATTTGAAGCAGATTGAATCCAATGTGTAGTTTTAGAGTAAAGAAGACAATGGCTCCATAGTAGTTCTTACAAACAAAGCCAGGAACTACATTCAGAATCATATTTTGTATTACTACACTTTCATTAGAAATTAACCTTCCACCAAAGAATGCACTGTGGGGTAGATTTAAGCTTGTTCTTTTGCAATAATGTCAGGCGTGAGTAATATCACCCACAGTAAGTGCTGGGCTGCTTCAGAGATATCCTCCCACTATCTCCCCATCTGACCGGAACAGGAATTGGATAGCTTCAGAGCAAAAGAATAATGTGTCCATGTGTTTCTCCAGATCTCAGAGTCCTGGCAGCCAACCTCAACTCTCTTGGCCACCATAAAGCAGTCATTGAAGGGACACAGCTGCAGGAACTAGCACTAAATAAATCCACAGGACTGGAGGCACAAGTCATGTACATGACCCTAATACAATATCTTGTGGTTATGGATGAACGGATTAGCATCTAATGGTGCTGTGGCAGCTTATGCAAAATTAATTGGATCCTCAGCCAGTGCTGAGTTTCTAATGGAAAGATGTCCACTTAAAAAACACCCCCCCACCCGCCCCCGGCCCAAAGAACAAAACACCACCAAAAATCCCCACAACAATAACAACAAAATCCAAGAGTCCTCCTTATTGACAAAGACTTTGGCTGGTGTTGTGGGGGAGACTAAAGACCAATGGGAATGGGAAGTGAACTGTTTATTAGTGGTACATGAATTCTCTTCAGATCAGAGTTGATGTACAATATCCCAGGAACTGATCGCGTTATTGCCATGCTCTTGGCTTATTTTAGAGTTGTGGTTGAGGGAGCTTGGGAAAAAGGTTGGAGAAATGTGTCTTGAAGTCTAGAGTTGTCTCACATGGGGAAAGAGACTAAAGAAGAAAATCTAAGAACAACACTTCTCAAAATGTGTTTTGATTCACTTTTGTTTATATTTGAAGAAGATGTTGTGATTCACTAAGTTTGAGAAACAACAAGGTAAGTTAAACACAGATACATGGTTGTAG